ATTACTTTCCTCTCTGAGGTTTGGATTTGTAGTTAGGAAAATTCTTAACATAGGCTAATGATTTTTTGAGAGACCACTTGATTTTTAAAGTTTCTTTTCAAAGTGATAGCCTGGTACCAAGTATTAAGATGTTTGAGAAATCCTGTGTGTAATACAAACCTGTGAAAGGACCAAAGGATTTAACGTTTTCTGCTCCAGTCCAACATCCCTTGAAGTGAACAGTCTTCAAAAGCTGAGTAACCTTTGTTGGCAGATTTTATTTTATACTTCTGCAAGGCACAACCAGAAGAGGTGCTGCCACTTTGTTCTTTGGTTTGAGACATTAGGACATAAGAGAATCAGCCTGAAGGAGATGGAGCTACCTGCTAATGCAGCATGAAACTGCCTTATAAATTTTTTTGGTATTGCCAAAGCTTCAGTTGGATGGGGCAGCTAGAAACAAACGGAAAAATTAAGTTCCGTCAGAAAATGCATCCAAATTCTGACAAATGCTGAAACCAAGCCCTTTGAACCACGCACACCCCAGGAAGCTATGAGCTTTGGAAAAATAGGAGACTGGTTTGAAATGAGATTTTTACGAGTCAGTGTGGCCCCACTTAGTGAAGCACTTTTTTCAGAGGCTGCTCAGAAGTACTGTCAGTACAGTTGCTGGCATCCACAGGAAATTCATGGTCTTAAATGTGTATGTTCTGCTTTTTGTAAGGCAGTACCATTACACTGAGGAAGTTGGATTCCCTCCATCAGTTGTGTGCATGACTTAAAAAAGAGAGTGCAAGGGAGAGAAAAAAAGTGCCATGTGTTATGAAAAAGATTAATTTCCCCTTTCTTTAATCCTTCATATTCAGCGTTTATTTGCATTGAAATGCCTCCACTCATATGCATTGGTGTTCACTCAACTGTGAACCCTGCTTGTTGCACAGCTCTAGGCAGTGGTTTTGTGGGTGCCTGATCACTCTGGATTCCCAGGGAAAACCCACCCGATTCTTGTTCTGGCAATGCAAACATGCCATGTTCTCTTTCTTTTCCTGTTCAACTTTTGTAGGGAAAGTGGAAAGGACAGCTAATGGCACTTGTTTAGGGAAAAACGTCTCTGTGTTTTTTTCCGCGACCCTAATATTGCTAATAAAGAAACTCTGGGTTCACTCTGCAGTTAATAGTTTACAAAGCAGTAGCACCTTGAATTCTGTACTGGAATACTCTGGTCTTCTTAATACCAAAATAAAACTGAAAGGCAGGTGGTGAAGAGCCTAGGAAGCAAAAAAAAAATTTTTTTTGCTTTTTTATGTGAATGATGGTCTGAGCACAGAGCAATCTGGATTGATTTTCCCAGCTGGACAGATTGTGTGTGCATGCCTAAAGAAAAACATCAGGAGCTACAAGAGTTCAGGTTATGCAACCATTTTGTGTGCTGTGATAAGACAGTTCACAAGAACTTTACAAGTTTACACCCACCTCAGCATCCAAAATACACAGCTAGAGCCACATGAGGAAATGGCAGAATGACTTGGAAACTTCTCCTTTTCATGGTTAAACTGTGAAAGCCTGTCTTTAGTTCACATGGTGGTAGTATAAGATCTCTCTTTTATTTGTGGGACACCAGGGAGAAAGTATGGGAGAGACTTTGGGGTAGATGGCCTTCAGTTGCTTGGTGATGAATAGCATAATTTAAGACCTAGTGGAAATTCTTAGCGGCCTGAGAACCAACTTGCCCAGGAATAGCCTCTCAGTTCTTTACAACACTTTGCACTGACCCTGTAACTCTGGGACAGCTTGGCATTAGGGAAGTTTCACATTTCTTAACTGGTTTTCCTCTGCAGCCTAAATATCTGCGCCCCCTTTTGGATGGTTGGGTTCAGTGGCTCTCAGTTGTACAGTACCTAAAGGATTCAGTGTTTCTGTTTTTCTAGGCAGGACCCAGTCTCAATTATATAAGCTCAGAGTAGGATATAAAGAAATTGGAGACTTTTTCTGTCAGGATTTAGGAAGTTTGGCCTTGCAGTCAGATACTTGGAATGGAGTAAGAGTTTTTTCATTTTTTGTTTTTTTATTGCTAAAGCTAATCTGGGGAAGAAAACTAGGGGTCCCTCTTTTTAAGCCAGAAGTTTACAGAAACCCACTTTGTCATAGGAGTAGGTGTGAAAATTTTAAACTTTGTAAATTTAAAAAGAATTACAAAGTTATGGCTTTTATGAGTAATAACCCCCCACTCTCTTTCTACTTTACTGTCTCTACTAAAGCCCATTTATGTGGATTTTGTTTAGTTTGGTAAATTTGTTTTTAATGCCTTTGCTAGAGCTCCTAGCCAAGATCAAGACAGTATGAGGGTTGTTCTCTTGCCCAGCTAGAAAAGGCCAGTAAAAAAGCAAGCATCTATTAAACTAGAGAATCAGCTAACTTTAGTTTATTAGGCCTGGGGGAAGGAAAGAAGGTCCTGTGATGATGGATTTCTTTTTTCCTTGAGATTCAAATAGCAAGTACACATCTGCTGTTCTCAGCTTCTGTGAATGTGTTTGGAGGGATGTGATCCATATCACAGGCTCCAGCAGCAACAAGGGACCCAGCATGTGCAGGGCTTTTCTACTTCTTTCATGCAGAGAAGAAAGAACATAGCCACAGTGCCATCCTCTGACATGAAGAAACTTTTGTAAATGTCTATCCATTTATGTATGTGCACATAATGTGGATTAATTCATGAGGTGAAACTTGGTAAACTGATTAGATTTCAGATTTCAGTTTGTAACAATGGAGACTCCAGAAAGAAAATGTAGTAAATGTTGTACCCTAGCTTGGAGTCAGATAAAAATAAGATGTGTAGGGGGGTTACGAGGAGAATGGGGTTAAAAAGACTGAGAATCCATACAGAGGTGTGTCGCCGGAAAGAAGTGAGATGTTGGGACAAGAGGCAAAACATGTCAGTACAGATTTGAGAAGAGTCTAGAGCTGTACTTTCTAATATGGTAGCCACTAGCCACATGTGGTTATTCAAATGAAATTAAGAATTCAGTTCTACAGTTACATTAACCAGATTTCAAGTGTTCGAACAGCCATATGTGGCTAATGACTTTTGAATTGGACAGCACAAACATGGAACATTTCCATCACTGCAAAAAAGTTCAATCGGATGACTGCTTGTTTGGAGTTGGAGCACACTTTTTCTGTAAAGGGCCAGATAGCAAATGTTTTAGGCTTCACAGGCGATACAGTTCTGTTACAAGTATTGTAGTACAAATGAATCCATAGACAATACAGAGATGAGGGCTATGAGCCAATAAAACTTTACAGACACTGAAATTTGAATTCCGTATAATTTTCTCACCACAAATAGTCTTCCTTTGATTATTTCTCAGCCATTTAAAAATGTAAGAACCATTCTTAGCTCATGGGACATACCAAAACAGGCAGTGAGCCCTCTGGGTCATAATTTGCCAATCGCTTCTTCCAGCGGTACAGGAAATCAACTTGTTTCTTTTACTGTGTAGGACATCAATCACATGAAGATTTTTAGTGGTTCTTCTAGCTTGAGAACTTTGGCTAAAAATTGGGGCTCACTGTAGGACTTTTTTACTTTCCCTTGTTCCCTATTTTTGCATTCTAGTCCTCTCCAGTGGTAGAGTCATGCTCTTCAGTAGGAGATGACCACTTAAGTCATACTCAAGTCTAAAATGCTAAACCCTACTCTTTCTGTACCTGCTAACTGGCAGAATCCTCACTTGTAACATCACCCGTTACAGATTGCAAGTTTGCTGGTGGCGTCTGGGATCAGTTCTGTCCTTGTACTGTACTTGAGCACGGTGAATATTGGTGTTCCAGACTGGCTTAGTGCTCATCTCTAGCCATTAACCTCTCCCAGCCCTCAGGGTATGTGTGCGTAGAGATGGAGAGTAAAGGAGTTTTATGACCTGGCTCTATCCCCAAACCACCTGCTATCTTGAGTGGCACTGTTGAAGGATGCCTCAGGATAAGGAAAGAAAGGAAAGATGAAAATTGCAGAGCTAGGATGTTCAAGGACACAGGAAGAACATAACAGGGGCTAAGACGTTCGGAGACTTGAGAATTAAGGTAACTATGGAAGAAGGTGAAGTTTTAGGGAGGAGGTCATGAAAAGTATGTTTCACCAGTGAGGTGGGTAGGAGGGTTCACTTAAACAGGGACTGAATGCCTACTGTGTACTAGGTACTGTGCTGGGCAGAGATGAATGACAGTATAAGAAAAAAATTGTTAGAATGGTGGGTTGGAGAAGGACAGAATAGGACTTTTAGATAATAAAGCAACAAAATTGGGTGATACAGGATGGTCAGGTGAAAAGAGACAAAGGGTACTTTGGAGAGGAAAACAGGGGGTAATCCTAAAAGAAATTGTAAAATAAAATAAAAAATTAGGGGTTTGTTACTTTGATGAACCAAGGGCTAAAATGGATGAAACCATCACGGGCTGTGCTTGCTCTTCCGTCCTTCGTGGATGTTTATGTTCACACCTTTCATGGTCCTTTCTTTCCTCTCCGTGCGGTTGAAGGTTGAAGGACACCTACAGAACTGGTGTCTTCTGTGTTTAAGGTACGATACTTCCCCAGAGACCGCTCTGCGAGGAACTCCGGTCCGCCGAGAGTTCTTTCCACGAGGGGAGAGCGTTAGGTTCGAACTCCGCAATCCGGGTTTCTTCGAGTGTATCTGTGTTTTAACCGGCTCGCCGGGTTTTCCAGCATTCCCAGAGCTACGACTTTCTAATCCGGGCTCCGTGTGACCGCGCATAACGAGACCCAGGATTTGGGTCCCTTATCCAGATTCCGGGTTTCCCCTGTGCTCTCCCGCTCCAGACTCCACACTAGCCCGGAGTCCGGATCCGAGGGCCCGACAGTCCAGTGTCCTGGTCTTCCGGGCAGCTCTGGTTGTCCCGGATCGCGGCGGCGGCGGCGGCGGCAGCGGCGGCGGCGGCGGCTGAGGGACCCGCGGCCCCGGACACAGCGGCACCGGCCGGGCGGGGCGGAGCGGCGCCGAGAGGGGGCGGAGAGCCGGAGCCCAGACGGGGTGGGGTGGGGGGAGGGGCCACGGGAACGGATGGCGGCCTGGGCTCCGTAGCAGCGGCGGCTCTACGGCCCGGGGCCCCCGGCGGGCTGAGGTGGCGGCTCCCGGGACCGGCCGCGCGGTGAGTCCGGAGCTTTGTGTGGAGCCGGGGCTGGGGGAGGAGAGAGGCGGCGGCGCTGAGTGGGGCCGGGGGTAGTGGCGCCCGACGGAAGAAGTGGGGGTTGGGTGGGGGAGGTGTGTTTGGGGGGAGGAGGGGTCGCTGCGTGGGTGGGGGAGGGGGCATCGAGGGGCGCAGGGTGAAGTTCAAAGCGTGGCCGGGGCCGGTTCAACCCGAGGGTAGGGGTGCCCGAGAGGGGTTAGGGCCTGGCCAGGTTGTGGGGGCCCAGGGAGGCCGGGTCTCGTCAGGGAATCGGGGGGTAGAGCGAAGGGTCGGGAGCCAGTAGGACGTGTGCGCGGCCCAGGATGGGGGAGCAAGGTGGCCGGGAGAGCAGTAGGTAGGTGGTGGATGTGTGCTCCTTGCAGTCTTCAGGTCACATTTACTCCTGTCCTTTTCTTCAAGATGGAGGGATCCCTGGGCCTGGCCCTTAACTGCTATCCTTGTACCCCCGGGAGAATTTGTGACCCTGTCCTGTTCGGAAAACCCGTGCTGCCCTCTTTTCCCTTTATGTGTAATTACGGTTGGATCATCTCTGCTTTGCTCAGATTCTCCTTCCTCCCTCTGGGGTTGAGGAGGAGGAGACACATCTGACCAATTAATGTGTGTTTGTGAAACAGGCAGCAGCAAACAGTCATTTCAGCTTCTAGGAATTAGGCTCACACAGGGTGGAGAGATCAGATCCCTTCGGGAGGAGTATTTCTGAACAAATCACAGATGATTAAATTCCCTAAGAAACAGCTTCCTGCCTAAATGAGAGTGGGAAAGATGGGGGAGAAAGCCTGTCTGTTTCCAGCCATGTGTACAGGGCCCCAGGGTTGAGGAGAGTCCCTAGTCCCCCACAGGCCTCTCTTTTCTGTATTGGGCTTTGCTCTGCAGCCTTGAGTTAATTTCACCCCTGCTGCTTTGTCTTGGGGGAGGGAGTGCTGGTTTAGGCTGCTGTGAGATGACTGTTCTGCTGCCACACACAATAGTCTGTGTCATTCTATCGGGAGTGCTACCCCAGGGCTGAGAACTGCTGCTGCAGAGATAAACCGGTCCCTCTCACCCGCCTATTGTGTACACAGTGAAGGTCATAGGTTCAAGTCTTGTCTGAGAGCTTTGGATATGCTCCATCTCCCAGGCTCCTCAGTGCCATTTTCTTCCTTTTCCAAACTGGGGCTTGCCATTGGAGGAGGCCAGACAGAAAGGCTCTTCTTTTTGAGTGAGGAACAATGCAGGGCTCATTGGCACACATTTTTCAGAAGAATAGGGGATGCCAGCCATGTTGTGCCTGCCTCTTTGGCTAGCCTGTAGTGAGTTGTGGAGGAATTGTGTCTGGGAGACTCAACCCTGATGTTTGTGTCAGACCTTTTAGGAAGAAGACTCAAAAGGGAGGTTTCTACTCTTGTTTGTACCATCATATTTAGTTCTTTTTATAGAGATGGGACACTCATACAATGATTTTTGTTTATTTGTTTAGGAATACTGCTAAAAAGCCTTTGCAAGTTTAAGCTAGGGGAGTCAAGGACCAAGTACCTTTTTAATGGTGACTTCCTGGTCAATAATAATTGCACAACAAAAAAAGCCACAGAATTTGCCTATCTGGGCAAAGGCTGTGGAAACAAAACAACCTTTCATTCTGATGAAAGGTGACTTGCTCATTGTGCAGAAAGTACATATCTACCTGTGTATTAGGGAGAAATTTGCCAAGTTGATGAGCATTTAAAAAAAAAATCATTCAGTGTCTTTGGAATTAGAAAGGAGGATGAGAACAAGCTAGAAGGAACCCTGTCCTTGTAGATATCTCATAGATATGCCCAAACAGTATTTTGGTACTATTAGTTGGGTAAAAAATTATTTACCCAACTAGAAATGAGGTTTCCATTTACAACATTAAAGAAAAATGTTCTTTAAAAAGAGATGAAAAATCAAACTCATTGTGAGAGGGCAGCTATACACAATACACTGTGTACACAATAGCTAACCATTTCCTATAGGCTCTTGCTGAATACGAACTTCAGCCCTTGGTTTTGGTAAAGGTCTTTCAAAGGTACTGACTGAGTCGGCTGACTATGTTGCCTCCCTCATCCCTTTACTTCAAAGAATTTCTTAAAATGATGACTTACTGCTTAGGTGTTGGGCTTTGTTAGGGAACATGTTGTTCTGACCTTTATGTTTCTTGATGACAGAACTGTGTTAAGGTCTTAGTAGAGGTGTGTTGTCTGTCTTTAGACTATTTCCAACTGTATGTCCCAGGTTTCTGAGCAAAAACTTAGCTAAACTGAGTCCAAAGCTTGTTGCTCTTGGGCTGTTCATGTTCATTTCTGAATTCTGTTAGGTGACAGTGAAGGCAGAAGCCTCAAGATTAAATTTGCCCTAATTAGATTTAGTCGTTTCAGAGTTGGGTCCTTGACACAAAAAGTCTTATGACTCTTATGATTGTGGCCATCTTTCAGTGAGCACTTTGGATTCCACCCCTTACCCCAGCTTCTTGGTGGAAAACGTTTCCTTGTGAGAGGTCTGTATAGTTGGACAGATTAGTGCTATTTTGTGTGAGGATATGGAAGCATAATTTTGGCTCCTGGTAGTAATTCTGTGGCAATTAGCGTATAGCAGCTAAATGACTGGAACAGGATAATTTGTTGAGGGATTTACTGATTGCTCTGTCAAGTGGAAGTGCCACTCCTTATTTATTTGACTGGGAACACTACTTCTCAGGCTCAGCCATGAAGGCTTGAGAAGAATGATGTGTAACTTCCAGAAGTTCTCACTCATTCTCTCGTTACTGCCAGATACCTTAGCGCCTTCTACTGCCACTTTTTCTCCTGCTGCAAAGGTAACTAAGCAATTGTTATTTCCCTTGTGGAAAACTGGTCATGGATGGGCATACTGCCAGACAGATGGGGCCACTCTGAGATAAGGCAGCCTTATGTTGTGTGGCAAATTTTCAGCAGCTGAATTCTCACTTATACTTGATTTTTAAAAATCAATTTCCTTTAAAAAAAAACAAAGAACAGCAAAACCCCCACAAAATACAAAATCAAATTGTGTACTAAATATGCCTTCATGCTATCTCTCAGGAAAGTTGCCTGTGACAGACAAAATGAAGATAGGTGATGCTGACTGGCAGATTCTGGGCTCACTAAGAGTCAGTGAAGGACTCTTTTCACTAGGGAACAGGTAATTCACCAAAGCACCTGCCTAGCTGGGCATGTGGAATTGGCAGCAGCTGTGCAGCTAAAGAGAGATTATTGAGCAGGTGGTTGAAGAATCACATGCCACAGTAACGAGAAAATACTTTGTCTTCCGTGGTTTAGGTTCAGTTCATATGTGTGAAATTACTCTTTGTCTCACATTTTTTAATGCCTGATACTGGTTTGTTAGTGAGATGATGATGGAATAGAGAAAAGAGGTTTTTCTTTCTGTGTTTCTTTGAGATTACTGAGTAACATGCCTTAAACATGGTCCTAGATGGCTCTATTGTATTTCTGTAAATTCTGGCTTTATGCCCTATGAATGGGAACGATGTAGTGGTAATTCAGTGTTTCTAGTACTTGTTTATTAGGGGGTGATGGGAAGAAGAAAATTCTTTGCTTTCAGTGTTGTGAAAAAGAGCCCACTGGGAGGATAGCCAGCAGGTTTTATGTAAAGGATGTAATTGACTTTTTGTGTCCAGCTATCTGGCATGCCTTACTCAAGAAATTTGCATGTGTTTTTATTTTATGAATGTAATTCTCCTCATGAAGTTTGCATCTCCTCAGTTGTTTGTTTTATTCCATTTTTAGTTTCTCCCAGCACCTGTATAACTCTTTTCTCTGGCATTGAGATTAATATCACTTGTTAGAACCAAATCATAACCACAGGGCCAAATCATATCAGGGAAATATCTCAACTAAATATTTATCTTAACGACAAGTATAACATTTTCTACAATTTGGAGGACCTTGTGTTTTTAAGTTTTCTGCAAATTTCCAGATTTTTCTTACAGGTTATCATCATCTTCTGTTAAATATGATTTTATTTTTCTTTCACATGTTCATGCCACTATTGTAGGCAGTGCCATGGACCCTAAAATTTATCAGCAAGCAACTCGGTGTTTATTTCCTGACCTTTTAGTGCCCTTCAGTCCTTTTCTGTACTAGGCTGACTGGTTATATGCTCCTCCTGTTGAAACACATACACAATCTAATTGAATTTGCAGAGAATTAATATTGATTGAAGGGAAGTAAGTGATATGAACTGTTATGGAGTTCAGAAATCCCTTTTCCAAGCAGAATGGAGGTTTGACCTGTTTGTCAGAGAGAGACCAAGACAGACACATAGATCCAAATAGTTAGATGCATAGATATATAGATTTAGATAAATAGAGACATAGATTTTGATTGATTGATTAATTAGGGGAAAGGGTGGTGAGCCCAAGGCCAATGGACCACTGCAAAGTTGGACATTTGTAAGAATCTGCATAAAACTGGTTTGTAACCTAGCTTTAAGTGGGAGCTTAGCAGTTATTTGTATAGCATTCACTTCTGGGCAAGAACATAAACTTATTTATTTCCTTCTGTGAAGCCATCACAGTTGTTTGTTTTAAACTGTTCACAAACCACCATATACTTTCCTGGCATTCTCAGTAGTTTGCTTCCTCATGCTTTCTCCCTTCCCCCATCTCGGGAGCATCCTAGTTCTCTGCTCTGAAGACTTCTCCAGCAGGTTGGAAACACTCTAATTACTGTAGCTATTATAGTCACAACCCAGATCCTCCACCTCCTTCCCGCTCACCCCTTTCTCTCTTCCTTCCTCCCCCCCTTGCTCTAGCAGCAGGAGTTGAACTGCAGTCTCATGAGCACAGTCAGATCTATGAATGAGCTTTATATCTTGTCAAGGCAGAACTCCAGATCCAGCAGGGCTGATTTTTCATGCTTCTCTTTCTGTTTGTTCTTGGATCAGAGTCCCAGAAGAGATGGCAAATACCTATAAGGTCATATCTA